TGTGTTGTAAATAACATTCTTTAAGCACAAAAAAAAATTGCCAGAGTGGAGAACACCTTCCATTTGCCAGTTCTCCAGTAATGCCCTCACCACACAGTAGGGACCTCTGCTGGGACTGCACTTGCAAAATTTTAGGAAGGCTGAAAGCTGTCTCAGGACAATTCATCCCACTTATTTGGATATGTGCTTTAAGAAGGGATGAATAACCTCCTGGAGGGGTTTCTTTCCCATTGATGCCAGAGGGAACTCAGATGAGTAGCACAGATGACATGTCTGTCTTCCAGACAGCTAGTGTCAAAGAAGATGAATCCCATTGCGAATAAAACAGTTTCACTGACATACATGAATTCCAGGAATTTAAAAATTAATGGAAGCACAACTCCTTAGGTTCAGATAGTGATTGGCATGGCTCTAAGAAATTTCTTCATCTGAAAGATAACAACTTTATTTCAACACCTTTTCAGCACACTAAATAAAGCTTATGAAATAAGTAGGTATGAAATGATAAGTTAAGAAAAACTTTTATGCCAAGTGCTTAGTAATGGTTTGTCCTTCTCCATACATCAACTAGGAAGCAAATCCAGAAATAAAATGTAGCTCTCCTCTCATGTATATTCTTTACCTGAAAAACATTTTAAGCTCTCTCAACATCTTCAGAGGATCAAAACTATGCAAAACTGGAGAAGTCTTAGCGGAAGACAGGAATGTTAGGTTACCTTTAGCAGGAAAGTTGAAGGGTTCCTTAGTCAGATCAGGACAGTCTACAACAGAGACTTGAGCATCAGCAAAGTTCTCTTTAAGCCCTTTCTGCAAAACTGTAATAAAGAATAATAAAAAATTATTGACAATGGAAAGAGTCTGACAAGTTTCTAACAACAATAAACCTATCTGTTTGGGTTTTATTTCTGCAAGATACATTACTTATGCTTATCCTAAGTAACTCCATTGATTTAAACGTTTGCAGGTATTGTTACATTACTCTGAACTTCAGACAGGAGCAAAAGTTTGTTCAGATAATTGTTTGCCACATTAATTAAAAATTTAAAAAAACATGTTCATTGAAATACATTGACTGACCGCTCCAAGTAGCACTAGGAGCAGCACAATGTGAAGTAAAACAGGTAAACTTCGATCACATTCAGCAGTGGGTTTGTTTCAAAGAGCAGACAATTATAACAGTCAAGTATGATGCAAGAGCAAAGGAGGAAGCAAGATTTAGCTGAGGCAACAATCAGTTCTTTACATTAACCAGACGGTTTGCAATAGCTTGATTGTAATCTCAAAATGTCTCTGCTGTCTGGAAATTTCTACTGCCATGGGATACTGCCTATCCATGTTTATGCTCTTGTGGAGATTTTCTGACAAGTGCCACTATCACAGCAAGACAGATAATGAATGGTGTTGGTGATAATGAACCAGACCTAAAAATTTTGTTTTGCTTCATATCAATGCTTTTTAGCCTCAGAACTTGCAAAGTCACTCAAACAACAGGGAGGATTAGATGAGTGCATTGTTTGGAAACAATTTCCAAACCATTAGTGTGGCATTGTCTTCACAAAATAGTGCGTTGAAAGGTCCAGGTTCTTTCATGCCTGAGGGTCTGCTTTGACAGACACCTCAAACTAAAGAACAGAACATCCAGTCTGTAATCTCAAATCAGGTGGTTCCTTTTTTATGCAGAAGACTTTGCTGTGCCTGTGCCTTTGCCTCCTCCACTTAGGATTTCAACCAGACCTTATTTCTCAAAATCAGATTTAGCAAGCTGTTGACCAAAAGGGTCAGTAGCTGGTACTTGGTACATTTCTAAATACATCTCAGTACCTTCTCATAAGTGGACAAAGACATTCAAAGGGCACTCCTCAAATCATACCCAAAATCTGAACAGCAACACAATTCCCAGCTTACTGGAGATCCTCAGGACAGACAGGGACAAAAGGAAAATTCTGCTTTGTGATGAAATTTTGCTGATACTCTTTGAAGCTGTTCTACTGCAAGTATATGGTGTTCTCTGCAGAGCTTACAGGTCTACAGCAGTGCTGGCCTACTGCCCCAGTCTGGCTGGGTGAGAAAAGCACTGAGAACCACCCAGGGCACTGCTGGGACCACATATTCTCTCCATACACAAAAATGTCAAACTGACACACAGTCAGGAAAGTGGCAAACTGAACCTGAGGATCAATCCGAAAGACAAAAAATCTTAGTATATCTGCTGCAGGGGAGAGACTGCCTGAAGGAATAATGTCTTCCTGCTAGGGCAAGAAATGAAGCTCATGAGGCTGAACCTAGACGTCCCCTCCAACTTCACCCATTCTATTATTCCGAGCACATCTTGCAAATGCTTTAGAAAGAAGTGAAAGAAGATGTTTCCTGCAGCCCTGTTCTAAGGTAATCACAAAAGGAGGAGTCAACTAGGTTCATGCAAGAGGATCTGCCATGCTACACTGCATCTTGTCAGATATTATTTTGAGCAGTCCTGGAAAAGAAAGAAATACTAGAGGGCAGAGGAGGACAGATGATTCTATATGTGTAAAGAAGTTTGCTGTGTAGTGGTTAAACTTTCACAACCTGCACAGAAATCTGCATATGCAGCAGTTTTAAAGGGAATGAGATACTGTCTGTGTGATTAAATATTTTGGGGGCTTGGGGGCAGAGTCATTGTTTCCTCTAAGGAAATCATCACATATAGAGAAGCAATGCTGTTCTTTACATCTCAGTGTGCTAAAATCAGGACTTCTGCATGTACTAGCTGTAGAGAGACTTTGGTATGAGCTTTAAGATAAGTTTGAAGAGTACATTACAAGTTTGTATAAAGTCACATGTCACATTACTTACCCCCAGCAAGTTCCTCCAGACTTGGGACATGAAAAGCAAACCTTTCGACTTTGGCCATTTCCTAAAGCGTGCTGATTTCTTCAGGTAAGAAGCTTCAGTGCAGTACTCTGCAGAGTGACTGGTCTGCCAACAAAGATAATAGTTGAACAATTTAAACATGCTCCTTTCAACATGTTAATTATTTTTTAATTTCACTCAAGAATACATAGAAAAAATAGAACTGTAGTTATGCCATCACAGGAGAGACTGACAGTTTCAATAGTAATGTTAAATTTCTAATGTGCTTTGGAAGAAGATGTGTCTGTCAGTGCTATAGCTGGCTCAGAGCATTACACATACTAGTCCTCAAGCTGACAAGTGGGTGTAGGGAAAACACATCCTATGCTGAATGCAGTTCAAGGGATCAGGAGATTTGGGTGTCTTTTTGTAAGACTGGAGTCACAAGAAAGCTTTGTAAGAAACCTGAGCTTTTCTGAGCACAACAGCTACCTCCTAAGGTCTTCCCAACCTTAATGTTTACTTTTCCAGCCCTGGCTGTGGTGGACTTTCAACCCCAGCTATGACACGGTCTCCAATTGATTCTGGGCATGTGTTTCCCCTTCCAGAGAGCAGGCTAGCAGCAAAATAGAAATCAACAAGCAAGTTCTGCAGTATCAGGCTCTGTATGGGTACAGAGCCTGTAAGAAAATGTTTTGAACAAGAGTTTAAGAGCCCCTTCACAAATGAGCTGTACTTCAGTCAGCCTTGAAACAGCAAAGCCAGCCAGAAGGGCAAGCTGCTAGCTCAGGGGAGAAACAACTGTACACTACTAAAACTTAACTGCAGCAATCATTAACTCCTTAGGCACATACTTGCTGCACACAGCAATGAAAAATAAAATGGGTCCCATTTACCCAGATCTCAGATGTTAAAGGAAAAACCCAAAATCCTAACTAAATTCCTAGACCTGAGTCTTTGTTAGGAAGGACTACAGTGTGAGACAGCTGCTTATGTATAGTTCTAGCTTCTGTTTTTAAAAATTCCTAACTTTTATGACTGTCATAAAATGTAACTGTCTTTACACCATCAGCCTCTTGAGTTTGCATAAAGGAAAAAAAAATAAAACAGTGGAAAAAAAAAAGAAATAAGGAGCGTGGGGAGATCATTGCAATCACTTAACTTAAATCTTTGACCTCAGTGCTCAGCCACCCCAAATTACTGCTGTAGCAAGCAGTAGAGAAAGGAAGAAAGACTGCAACCTATGTATAGTAATTCTCATCTTAGTTGGTGCTATCTATCTCCACAGTTGATTTCATCCCTTTTCTGGCTCTGGAGGAGAAAGTAGCAGGATTTGGTACCTCTGGTAGAAGCCTAATGTCAGGTGGAGTGAATCATACCTCAAGACTTTTAGTGTGCACCAAGAAAAGGAATAATCAGCCATAGGCAGAAAATGAGAACATGGCTTTGCCAGCATTGTTTTAGACAATCCTCGCCCCCTCAAGAACCTTCTTCCAGCACTCAACATATTGGTTGTCCTGAAACAGTCTGAGAAGACAAGCTAAAACTGCTGTTGTGCAAAAAGCAGAGACAAGACTTTTATGGTATTCAAATAAGTTAGCTCCCCACAATCAAGAAAGCAGGGAAAGACTGGAAAAATTTGATGTACCATAATAAACCCAATCTGATTGGTAGACAGTAGTTCTTACCAGGAAAGACACAAAAGGGTAGATCTATGGCCCACCACTGCAAATATTCACAGGAGAGTGAATTGTGTGGTGTGGGACAGAGAGAACCTGAGACAACAGCACACAATTAGTACCCATCACGGAGAGCTGCAGTGACACTGAATTGCTACAGAAGACTTGCAAAGAAAGAACACAAATGCTAAAGGTATGATAAAATTATTATAGATGTGGGATGGTGCAACTAGAATGGAGGCAACAAGTATGTAAAGACTTAAAAGTCTACCTTTGAAGTGGGAAGAAAACATTAGCGAGTAGCCAGGTGCCCGGAGAACGCAGATGAAATGCGAGCCATTAGATTAATTATGTGGGGGGGGTATATATTATCAAAACCTGAACTGACATTAGCTTGGAGGGTTAAAGCCAGAAAGGAGAGGTTATATGCAGGCTAGACATGAGTTGGGGACGGGGATGGTGGGGGAAGAAAAATGACAGAAAAAATTGAAGATGGCAGTTGCGAGAGAGAAATTTAGCCATGACACCAAGAAGAGCAAGACATCCACAGATGCAGAAGCCGTATTTTTCGCCTGGGTCGGTGCGAGGAGATCCTGTACAGGGCAGAGGAATGCTGCGGGGCAGCCGAAGCAAACTCTTGAGCGGCCGGGATTTGGGGAAGGGACGCGCAGGGTATTAACAGGCGTGCTAGGCGAGGCTGCGGTCCGCAGGGACAGAGAGCATCCCGGCAGGCAAAGGCAGCGAGCAGTACTGGCGGGAGGGAGCGCTAAAGCCGGCAGCACGCCTGGAATGGCTGCGAGGGGAAGGAAGGGGCTGTTCAGGCTGGAGCAGCCAGCTCGGAGGAGCCTGGGCAGCGCGGGGAAGAACACGCAGGGCAGCAGGAACGGGAGCCTCTCACCAGGCGGGAAGTCGAGGGAAGCCGGGACCTGCCCGATCTCTGCCACACACCGACCGCCGCTATCGCCCGCCCGCACGTACCTGCCCTGCCGCCCGGCACTGGCGAGGCGAGGCGAGGCGAGGCACGGCACGGCTTGGAACAGCTTGGCACGGCTTGGCTTGGCTTGGCTTGTCTCGGCACCGCCCCGCACCCGGGCGCGGCCACCCCACTGCCACTCCCAGCATGGCACTGTACGCCATCCTCCTTTCCCTCCTTCCCATCGGCCCGCGCGCCTCTCGCGAGACCTCAGCGCTAT